CATTTTTTAAATGATGTAACAATTCCTCTTGTGGTTACTTTTCCATAGATATCCTCAACTCTGTCCTCATGTGAATTCAGAGGCAATGAAAATGAAAATTATTTACCATAAACATCGCAAACTAAAAACCTAATAAACAATTTTATACCGAATATAGAAATAAATTTATGCCCACTTGCACCGTTTGTATAAACTTTGTTTAAAGGCTAAACAGTGATTAACTATATAATATTTCACTACAGTTAATCACTGGTTAGCCTTTAAACAAAGTTTATACAAACGGTGCAAGGGGGCATTAGTATTCTTACCTATCGTCCAAATCCATGTTAATAGATAATTATTACTTTTAAATATATTTTTGGAACTGCTGGTTTTAGTAATTATTAAATTAAACGAACTAAAAAGTCTTAAAAATAAACAATTCTGAACCATAACCCCAAAAAATGCAGATCTCCTGTCAACTTTCTTTATTTTTTATTTATTCATTATTTTCCTGGTGACGTCACAGGTGGTATGCGCGAACTGAACGAAATTGGAGCCGCTATCGATCATACCTTGTATTCTTTGTACCATGCTCTAGCAGATGGTTTTGCTGACTTAATGCATTTTATAAATTCACGAAAATTCATTAAGGCATTGACTCATCTAAATCATTTGGATAACAGGTTATTAAATGTCTGGACTTATCGGTAATGTCGTCAATACTTAGAGTAGATAAATCACTAAAGAAACCAAATTTGGTTGAAAAGTCATTGTAGGCACTTTTCCTGTAGGAAATTTCAAGGATTAATTTATCAATAATAACATTAAATACATTTATCCTAAAATCGTTCCTAGCATTAAATAGAGTTTCATTATCACTGGTTTCATCAAATTGTCGTTTCCGTTTCACTTTTCTCTTTTTATCTGCCGCATATTCTTTCTCACCGAACAATTCTATGGCCCTTCTTTCATATTCCTCAAATGATTGAGTATTATCTAGATTTATAATTTCAGAAAAAATATTTTTCCAATGAGCTATATAAATCTGCAGAAAGTTGTAGATCAATATCCACCATTTGAAGCTTTTTATTGACCGCATCTAATCTATTTAAAACGTCTTTCCAAAATACCACCATAAAACCCATTTCTAGGCTTTTGAGTTATTTAAGGAGACTAGAAGCATATAATTGGGTTTTAGGCTTTTCGGTATCGTCTGCAGAAATTGACTCCAACGTGGATTTTATTTCATTGGAAGACAAAGATAGTGATTGGCAAGCTTCATTTCATGCAGACCAAGGTGTTTTTGAATTTATTTTTTTATATTCGAGGTATTTATGTATTTATTAACTGAATGCCATGGCACAATGCAGTAAAAAATAACCTAATAATAAATAAGAATTATACAGGGTTGTTCGCACCACATACGACACGGAGTATTGTCAGAGTACCTAAACCGACGAGTAGCGACAGTCCAGTTTTCAATTTTCTTTGCGGATGCGCGAAATAAGTAGGTTATCTGTCATACGAAGAAGCGAAGTTGCCACTGTTGCCATTTATCAAATATCACTATATACTTTATTTCAAGTATACCTCAGGTAACGAATCGTTTTTTTAATTATTTATTACCAGTAAGATATTTTATACATTCAAATTTAGAAATAAGGATAAAACAAAACAAAAAAGATGTATTAAACTTTATAATTAATTCCACTTCAAATTGTGAGCAGTGTATTCCATGTTTATAGGACCACTTCATAAGTTGAGCAGTTAAATACGTAGTCTATCTGTCAAACACGTCAAAAGAGAGAGAAAGAAAATTTGGTCCCTCCACATCAAAAGAGCCGACGGTTTCTGTCGCTACTCGGCGATCTACGTACTCTGGTATTGTAGCTAAACGGTTAGATTTTTACAAATTGTAAGTTTTGGGTTCGTTGTAGGACCATTAGAGCCACAATTTAAAAATAATTTTAAAAGATACAGAGTGTCCCAAATAAGTAAAAAACATTATTGTTGTATTTTTTTAAATGGAATACCCTGTATATTATTCTATTTTTAGATTTTACGATTAAAATAAAGGTAAATTTGATTAAGGTTTATCACACTTAAACTTTACCGTTTTTGAAATATTTTCAATTTTGTGAAATTGCAGTAAAAAATTTAAGGCTTCATTTCTCCAAGGGTATCGGAGTTTTTAATACTACATATTTACTGAAGATTATTTATCGATCAGATATTGTGTTGCAATAATAAAAATTATACTTCCTTATACAGAGTGTCCAACAATTTATATTAAATAATTACTAGCTTTAAACGACAATAACTTGTTTAATTTAAATGGAACACCCTGTATATTTTACGTGATTCAGATGCACAATTTAATTGTCTATCAAATTCTACTAACCATTTTTTACCTATCTCTTCAAGTTTTCGAAGAAAATGCATTTTTTATAATTTAGACCTCATTTATCACTATACCCATGGAATATTGACATTTGAGATTTTTTTTAAAGTAACATATGTACAAAATACTATTCAAAAATAATAATATTGCAAGCCCATTTGTTACAAACAGAAAACTATTTAAATCTTTGTAAAAGAGTATACCTATTAAATACAATTTCCTCCCAAAAATTAGTTAATTACATACTATTTTAATTAATAAATTATTCTAAATAAATGTGGATTTGACTCAGAAATCAATATAATAATAAGTTACGAAAATGAACGTCTCTGTTATAAAAATAAGCATTCGTCAAAAATTAACATAAAATTTATACTGTCTAATGCACATGCAAAATTCAGTTTTTTAGAATTTGGATTTTTTTTAGTTTTTAGTATTGATTAATCAACGTAAACAGTCAATTAATGTAGCCTGAATACTAGGATCATATTAATTGGTCCTTTTTAACAAATAATATTTAAACATTTTTTTTAATTTTTTAATGAAATAATCGAACTATATCGACAATATTAGTATCTGTACGCTTTGAAATTTTGTTACATCTCTAAAAATAATCCAAAATGTCAATATTCCATGGGTATAGTGATAAATGAGGTCTAAATTATAAGAAAAGGTATTTTCTACGAAAACTTGAAGAGAGAGGTAAAAAACGGTATAATATAATTTGATAGACAATTAAATAATGCATATGAATTAAGTATAATATATAGGGTGTTCCATTTAAATTAAACAAGTTACAGCCGTTTAAAGCTAGTCATTATTTAACATAATTTTTTGGACACTCAGTATAAGAAAGTATAATTTTTATTATCGCAACACAATATCTGATCAATAAATAATCTTCAGTAAATATGTAGTATTAAAAACTTTGATACCCTTGGAGAAATGAAGCCTTACATTTTTTACTGCAATTTCACAAAATTGAAATTATTTCAAAAACGGTAAGGTTTAAGTGTGATAAACCTTAATCAAATTTACCTTTATTTTATTCGTAGAATCTAAAAATTGTATAATATATAGGGTGTTCCATTTAAAAAAATATAACTATAATATTTTTTACATATTTGGCACACTCTGTATCTTGTAAAAATATTTTAAAATTCTAGCTCTAATAGTCCTTCAACGAACCCAAAACTTACAATTTGTAAAAATCTAATCATTTAGCTACAATACTCCGTGTCGTATGTGGTGAACAACCCTGTATATTTAAACAATAATAATAGTTAAGTAAATAAATATGTAATCGGCTAAGGCTATATTCGAAATATTTAATGAACAAATAAAAGTTAAAAAAAAAGATAAATATTTTGGTATGCTCAAAATTTGCCGCCCCTTAAAATCTGCTGCCCCAGGCCCGGGCCTAGTTGGCCTAGACCTAAGTCCGGCACTGAGTGCAAGTGAAAATGTTTCTATTTCTGAGCCAAGCGGCTGCACGGTTTCCATGGTAACGTGACGTCAGCCTAGCGGCAGATGTAAATCCCCCCGCCCGGAAGTTTATTATCGGAGACCGATGTGAATGAGTTTTTGGTTTTGGGCTGTTCTCTTCGTCTTCCTTTTGTTCAGGAAATGCGTGACGGCGGCGCATAATTTATGCATTTATGCTAATATTCGGCTACTTCGGCGAGTAATTAACCGTGTAAAGTTGGTGTTATTTATTGTTGTTTGTTAATGGCTTTTGTTGATTTAACTTGTTAATTTTTGCCGAATTTTCCTGTTCGTTTTGTTATTGTGTTTTAAAATTGTTTTGTGTGTGTATGTGTTAAAAAATGAACCCAATTAATGACTTGGTGTGCAATTTATTGGAAACTCCCTTCAGACGGTGGACAGATGAAGATAAGAGGGATGTTTTATCTCAAAAGAAATAAGAAAAAATGGTAAATCTTGTAATATTAAATTTAAGTCTTCCTGGTTTTCTGATTTTAATTGGCTATGTAGTAGTATTGTTTTACAAAAATTATTTTGTTGGTCGTATTATTTACTATTTTCTAATAAACGTGACATTTGGAATAAAGAAGGGTTGGTTCACTGATTTCGTATTCATAGCTCCCACGTGTTAGCTGTCAACTTTGGCTTGGTGCATTTTAAGATGTTTTCAAAGCAGAAGTTATTGCTACAAAACTATTTTTTAAAACTCTAAAATAAAAAAAAAACATCCATATGGATCCAACTTTATGGTGGACACTGCATATAATGTTTATTAATATTTAATTTAAATTTAATTATATTTTCACTGGAATGCAAAATAATGTGTTTATCGAAAACTAGTTGTATCTCTTTTTACTTAATGCGTTTTAGCCCAAACTAAAACGAAAATATTATAGGCCTTAGTGTATAAATAATAACAAAAAAAAATGTTCACAAAATGGTGAATGCAGCAAAAATTTCTCAAATAATATTTTTAAAAATGTTAACAAAATGGTGAAGGCGCCAAAAAAATTAACTCTTCACGTGACGAAGATAAGCACGAGCCGCCACTGCGGCGGTCCGTGCTTATCTTCCCAAAAGTAAATCAATTTTTGTTTACATAATCATATTTCTAACAATATGCTTGTTCTAGGCCAAAGGCATGCCTATGCTCGCCAGCTAGTCCCCACTTCTAGACCAGCCTTAAGACTTTCCTTGAGACTTTTAGGTCATTGTGGTGTTGGAAAATCATCTTTAGCCAAAAGTTTAGGAGCTGGACTATTTAGCTCATTATTTAGACGATCCAGCTCGTTACAGAGCAATAAATGTGAGTAACCTAATGACTAAAGAATATAAGGACCAAGACCAAATCATTAACATTTGTCTCCAAACAGTACCGTGCCAGAGGGTTAATTTTAAAAAATCAGAATTAAATAAAAATTGGAATTTTCATTGTTTCGCAAATAATATTTTTATATCGGACGGTTACAAAATTTAATTTATTACTTACTGTTACGCTTATTAGACTTATTTAGTTTGAAAAATCTTTATTTATTTATTTTGTTTATTTGAACAATCTTTATTTATTTATATTTTTGATAAATTCATCGCCTACGCCTTTTATGGATGTTGATTCTTTAACGTAAGAAAGTATTAAAACGTTCACAAAAGATACAAAACTAGTATGGACCTCAGGTATGGACTATACGTTAGAACATATATTATAATATCAGATAGTTATTTGCGGAACTAGTGCAAAAGGACATATTTGTTGCTAGGGGCGTATACAGGAATTTATGTTAGGGAGGGCCAAATCAAAAGTAATATAGAATTTGCTTTTTAGGGCGCCATTTTTAAACCAAAAGCCTAATATTTAGCCCAAATTACAGATTTTAGAAGGGGCTGGGGCCCCATGGGCCACCTCTCTATATCCGCCGCTGTTTACTGCTCGAACTATGAGTTTTGCAGCCTCCCTTTCCTAGGCAACTTTGATGCAGTTAGACTTAAAATAAGTAGTGACTACCTAACCGGAAAGATCAGAGCAGAAAAATTCATTCAAAGAGAAAATCGTAATTGCTATTTAAAAATCTGCTAATTACTTCCTGTGTATCACACACACACACAATAAAGAATCTCTTATTTGTATTTTCAGCAAGGCCTTCATCACCAATCAACAGTTATATCGAGATGGACTCCAAAAAGGACTCAAGACAAAATTCTCTAACATTTGAATCACCGGCTCATTACCATTCGACTAATGGCATTCATTTTCAAAACGTAAGACTTCTAAGATAGGGTTCCCAACTTGAGCATCGGCGATTCCGGGACAATTATCTTTAAGCTTTTAAATAATTGAAACAAAACATTAAATATTAGAGAAAAAAATATATTATGTGTGTAGTACACACTTTTTTAGTTACCAGGTCCCGGCCAAGACAAAACTTTCGCCGGGACAAACTTTCTGATTCCTGGTTAATCCCGGCTAAACTGGGTCGGTTGGGAACCCTATTCTAAGATCAATGAGAACAAATAATTTAACAGACTTCTTTTAATTGAAGGCATGCATTCTTTATATTTGTTACAATTAAGCAACTAAAGAATCAATTTCATTTTAAAAGTTTTAAATTAACGGTTATATTTCGAGTATCTCTGATTTTTGTGAAAACAGACACTATTTCTCATTTGACAAACTCTTACTTACGTTTATTGTAAATTTGGTACCAATGCAGTTCTATTCAGGGTTATCTCCAAAAAAATCTTATATGGGTATTTCGCCACTGCACTGCAAGAAAACCTACAAAATAAAATAGTTATTTTTTGTAAACACTTCTGCGTTAAACCCTTGTTTATATATTAATAGTTAGTCAATGAGCCTGTATAAGTCGATGCTGCCAACTGGTGGCAGAAATTAAAACGTAAAAAGGGGCGGAGACTATTGAATTTGGCAAAGAAGTAGGGACTAGGAATTCTTCGAATTTAATTCTCAGTAAAGAATAAAAATATCTTATCTGATTCGAACCGAATTTATACCTCAAAGCGCTATTTACATTTTTTATTTTTGGACATGGATTTATATTTATTTTGATTTTCATGGCCACTTGTTGGATACTAAAGTATTATATTAGGTATATAAATATTTTATTTTTGATGGATAATTAAAGATTTTGATTTAGATGGATAATTAAAGAATATAATATGAAACTATACCTACCTACGTCTGTAACTTTGTAAAAAGTGTGGCGGATTTAACATAATGTTTTTTTTTTTAAATGTAACATCCTATTTTATTTTAGATTCTGCGTAAAATTCTATTACTTTTTTTACGTATATTTCTTGTATAATGGTGTAACCTAAAACTAGTTTTATAATATTTCAATTTGTTGATGAAGAAAAAATATTAGATATTTATATGTAGATATTTAAGGTAGAGCTACAGGGTGTTCAATATATATTTTTGAAATTCGACTACGTATTTAAAATAGAAAAATATCTGCAGATTCTTTCAATGACGCAGCCTATACTGAGTGTTTTTTCAAAAGCGGTTCACCTCTATAACTTTTTTATTTTTTCAGATAAAAAAATTAAATTCGGGGTTTACCAAATTCGGAATGTTAGTAGGTATATAACATAAATCGAGATTGATTCGTATTCCGTTAGTTTCGGTCACTTCCTGTTTCACCGGAAATGTATACGAGTACAACATTTGATTTTTAAATGGTACCCTCAGTATTTTTTATACTTTATTTGATAGAAAATGACATTCTGAATAGAATGACATATATCATATGTCAACTTTTGACATTTTCAATTAAAAAAAATAGCATTTTAAAATTCAATCTAGTGTCATGGCTGTGTTAAAACCATTAATTTTTAATCAAGGAGCTTCGGAAAAATTGATTTGATCGTCTAATATTTTTTGTGTCTTTTCCTTTTTGGTACCTGGTAAATAGGTAATTTGGTACCACACACTTCGTATATCGAGTCAAACTGTCGTTACCTTTACGACCGGTTACATGTTGTTTTTTATCATGGCACTCTAGATTGTAATTTAAAATACAATTTTTTAAGTAAATATGTCAAAAGTTGACATTAAATTATTCTATTCACAATGCCATATTCTGTCAAATAAAGTAAAAAAATACCGACGGTACCATTTAAAAACCAAGTTGTAGTCATTTCCGGTGAAACAAGAAATAACCGAAACTAATTGAATACGTCAATCAAGCCACTTTTGAAAAACACCCGGTATATTATATTTTTTTCTGATAGATTTTACAAAATTCTTCAATTTCTATTAATAATGTCATATAACTATATAAATTACTTTAATGCTTAATAATAAATAATTTTTGTTTTGTCATGGCAAAACTTGTTATAGTGTAAATGAAGTAAAAGAAGGATAAAAATTGAAAAATTCAGAACAGATTGCAAGCTGTATAGAGTATAGATGTACTTAATATACTTTCTTAACAAATGTTGAAAGGTTTTGTAAAAGCACTAGAAAAAATAATAATATATAGGATCAGCCAAAAAAAACTGTTTGAACACAGTGTAGCATCTAACTCCAAGTATTTTTACATATATCTTTTTCTTCACCTCTGTAAAACACTCCTACCAAATTTGTATAGCCCAACTTCGGAAACAACTGACAATTATGTAACATAGGAATTATTTTTTTTGCAAATACTAATGTTATTTATAAAAAAAAAGTTATAGAATTTTAGGCAGAATCGAAAATAAAACAAAAGTTATAAATAAGAGTTTTGCATTAAAAAACATGTTTCATTATATCCGCCACATTTTTTGAAGCACCCATTATACTCAAAAATAATATTTGAACTGTGTCTCTTAAGATTCTCTATACCCTTTTTTTTGAATTCCCAAAACAAACGAGATAAGTAACTTTATTTATTTCCTGATATCTCATTTTATAATATTTCGGAAGAATCAATCAGGTATCTTATTTTTATAATTATTAGAAATAAATCGGATTTAAAGGATAAGGGATATGTAAGTGTATACCATACGATAAAAAAAACGGCGTCAGAGGTGGCTTGGAAATGAATATCGATGTCATATATTTGTACGTAAACAAATAGACGCCGTTTTTTTCGCTCATACCGTATAAGAAAACAAATTTAATAAAACAAACGCATTTATTAATATATGTATATAGATTTACATGGTATGAAAAATTCGCATTATAATCTCTGAAGGTCCTACCATGGTCCCACCAATGGTTGGTTAAAGTGGCGAGTACGACCACTTAGCAGTCACACCTATAATAATTTAATAAAATATGAATATAATAAACAAACTTATTTCTTTTAGATTTTTTAAAAGCGAGTTATATGTGTTAAGTGGTTTTTGATTATTTTAGACTAAATTTTTTAGACATATGATTATTTTAGACCAAATTGTCTGCCCACTCAAACGTCTTTCAAAATTATAATGTAGGAAATTCTTAATATGTTTTAATTGGGAATACTTTTAGAAAGTTTCATTTTCACCAAACAAAACTACGTATGTATAATAAATTGCAGTATAATGAACTATAATGCATGATATATACTGGTGGCGTCAAAACTAGATGTTGGGTTTTTCTCGATTATTTCAAAGAGAACTCCACATTTTATGACATAAACGTAGTTTTTTCCAACTTTGTTTTGAAAAATAATTTTTAAATCCAAATAATCGATATTTATACAGTAATGTCCTGTTTTGGAATACATAATTATTTTCAGCTGCAGCGATAAAATAAATAATATTTACTGATACGCTAAGTAAAAAAATAATTAGGAAATTATTTTAGACATCTAATTCTTAATTTTTGTCGCTGATAAATATGTAGATACATCACTTTTAACGACAAACCTACTAATAAAAATTGCGAAAAACAAATCATGTTTATTCTCAAAGAGACAATTTTGAGAACAATCCAATAACTATTAATCTGGGATATAGATCTTAACAAAACAAAAGTTGGATAAAAGATTTGTTGATTTATGATATAAAATACAGTGTTCCATTTGAAATAGCAAAGAAAAATATAATATATAGTTTTGACTCATCCTGTATATAATACAAAAAAAATAATATAAAGAAAATTTAATCATATAAATAATTTAGGAATTTAGCATATTTTTATATAATTATATGAAGAGAACATTACCTTAAATTAGTTCCAGTAAAAAACTTCCATATTACTTATTTTTAACTTAGAAAGGGCTTTAAATATATATTTTATTATATAAACAAAAAAATTTAATCCAAAAATGGTCAAAATGAACTCTATACGATTACGACATTATAGTATTTTCTGGAATGACAATTTTTTGACAAATTCACCAAGAAAAAATAAAAAATATAGCTTTTCTTTTGACAAACTATACAACTCTAAAGTAAATATGTATTTAAATCTACGAATCATCCTGTATATCTATAAAAATACCTCCCTGTCAAATTTACGCTACTTTTGCATGCAAGCATACCTATTTTACAAAAATATGATTTGAGTGAAAATATAAAATAGGAAATCTGATATGAAGCTTTATCTAAACACAGGGTTGAGTGTAGATAAACAATATTTTACGTTATTAATTAAGAAAAATTATAAAATACACAATATATCTGACAGTTCCAAAAAAGCAAAGTAAGAAATGAAACATAATTTATAGCATAAAATCAGTATTTTTTAAATTTTTAAGTCAACTGGCCATTATCGTTTAATCTATCTATCAATCTATCAAATTTAATGTTTATTATTAAACTTATCTCAGACTCTCTATGAGTAAAACTCTAAGATAAAAACTCTAAAACCAAGAGTGATTTAAAACAAATTTATATGAATTTAGAAATAGATATGAACAGTATTTACTCACCTGTAATACAGATGCTTTTTGTTTAATTAAATATGTTTCAAAATATTATCCAGCAGGTACAAAATACACATTACACATCACGTAAACACAACACATAAAACTCATAAAATAATAGTTTGTAATCCAAATATTCAAAAATACTGTTTCGTTTCTTCGTGAGGGACGAAAAAATTTATTTTTTTAATTATTTAGATATGCATTAAGGTATATTTTAACTCAAAAGCTTATAAATAATTATTTTTTAAGACATAACCTAAACGAAACGAAATCAGAAGTCGAGAAAGATAAACAAAACTGCCGAATTTAGAAACGAATATGATTTTTTCCTTTTTTCTTGTCACAGTTGAAACAAACAAGGATAGAGCTATTTTCGTAAAACATGCGTGAAACGTGCTAATAAGTGGCCCAATAGATGTGACCTCGCGCCCTTCCATTTTTGAACGATGGGCGGGTTTAACGGATTCCCCTCAAAGAAAATCGTAGGGGAATACAAAAATTCAGAACGGGCAAGGCGCCACCTAGAAGACGGGCTTGTACTAAGCCCTCATTGTACATCTATTTATACATAATCAAGGGTTAAACCTAAACGGACATTACTTGTCACTATTGTCAGAAGTTATGTTTACTACAGCTATACAATATATACAACTTACAATTAGCGCATTATACACAACTTACAAAGAGCATTAGCGTAACTAGCAATTTATCCTGGGGGGGGGGGGCATGGGGTTGAGCCCAGGGGGGCCTAGGGCTTTTGTTTTTTTAAAAATTAAAAATAAGCTTGCTTCATCGACATTACCGTAGGTGGAGCTGAAGGCTTGGTAGGGTTTATATAAATAAACAAAATACAAGAAGCAGAAAATTAAGGCCTAAAAAACCCTAACATATATGCTTATTCTCTGCATTAAGTTCATCAGACTGAAGGGAACAGCCATTCGACGACCGATTTCGTAATTTCGTTTCGTTTCTTAATGCAGAGAATGAGCATATATGTTAGGGTTTTTTGGGCCTTAATTTTCTGCTTCTTGTATTTTGTTTAATTAAAAATAATTTAAAAAAACACATTTTTTTGAATAAAACGTTTACATGAATTTATCTATCAATAAATCTCATAGACTTGGTTATCAAACCGTGTTCCCGTAGATTACTTTAATACCTACAAATTTTCTAAAAAAATAAAAATTAATACATTTTTTGAACACAACAAAATAATATTAACTAAACAAAACTAGAAAAAGTCATTTTTACTGCATCACAAGCAAATAAAAATTAATACGTAGCCAAGAGTCATAATTCAGGATTTCTCTGGGGGTGCCCAGCAGTACATGGGGGGTGGGAGGAGGGGGTCGGCTTCCCCGCGTACCCCTATAGTTGCGCCAATGCATACGAGGCGTTTCGGAAAAAATATGAAGGATAGTAAAACAATATAACATCTTTCAAAACACAAAATACACTTAGATCCATTTTATCACATACTAAACCAATGAATACAGAACAACAAACAAAAAATCTAATATACCAAATACCATGTGAATGCCATAAATTTTACATTGGTGAATCATCTTGACTCTTATATGTTAGAATTAAAGAACATAAAGATTATTTAAGAAAGGGAGATTTTCACAAATCTAAGATTTGTCAGCATTCATGGGACACAAGGCACAGAATAAATTTTAATAACGCCAAAATTATAATGAAAGAAGCGACAGCCTCTAAAAGAAAAATAAAAGAGGCTTTTTTAATTCAATCTAATAAAAATAAATGTATTGCTCATGCATCTGTAGATGTTAGTAATGTATGGCAATCGCTTCTTTGATTTTAAAGAACATACCATAAATAAACATAACATACGTAAAATTTATAAATATAATCATACAGAAAGTTTGGGGCTTTTTGGTTTTACCTTATTAAGTAATTGTTATCAGGTAGTAACTGTTAATTTTGAAGTTTAACTTGATATAATGTCATTTTAACAGAACGTCAACGGTTTCTTGTAGACGTATCTGTTTTAAAAAAGTAAAGTGTTCTCGAATAGTTGAATTTAAATATTTTAAATAGTTTTTTTCTTTTTTCTTTGTATTTTTTTTGCTTCCGACGACGGAAAGAGATAAACTTTCCGAAACGTTAAGCATTTTTTCTTTGTTAGGCAAATTTGTATAACTTTAAACATAACTTCTGACAAGTAGTGTCCGTTTAGGTTTAACACAGAATTGTTTACAAAAAATAACTATTTTATCTTGTAGGTTTTCTTGTAGTGCAGTGGCGAAATACCCATAAAAGATTTTTTTGGAGAGATGAATCCGCCACATAGGTATAGACATTTTTTCCAAATCAGGGTTATGTTTGATCAAAGATATTATTTGTGTTTGATTCATTTTTGCTAACTGCTTTGGTAGAAAAAATAAATAGAGACCAGTGGCGGCTCGTGAATACTAAAGGAGGGTATTTGGTACAGTCTCTACAAGAAAAAACGTATCTATTATTATATCTACTATTTTTAGTACATATAAAGGCTATTCTAGTTTTCATGCTAGAAATGATGGCCGCATTATTTGATCTTATAAAGTGTGACGTAAAAATATCATCATATAATGCACTTAATTATATACAGGGTGGCGCACCTCCTTCGCCTCGGTTGATTATACGAAAACGGAAAGATGTAGACACAAAATATTTTACGGGGTGAGGAGGCAATGTGCACAATTTAAAATTATTTTGAAATATACAGGGTGTGTCAGAACCGAGATCCATACCAAAGTTATATTTTTTCTCATGGAACACCCGGTATTTTATTTAATTTTTGGATTCTTGGATCCAAAAAACGCGTTTATTATAAGGGTTAAATATGTTAAAAATCTTTAGTTTTTGAAATATTTAAAGATATTTAAATATGCATGCTACAATAATAGTACAGGGTGTCCCAGAAATAAGTGCAAGTATTTTAACTGGTATTATAGTTCAACCCCAGAAACACGCCTATGAGGTTTTTTCGCGAAAAAAAAATTGAAAATTCGGAATTTGAAAAAATTTTGGATATTTTTTTAGTTTTTAGTTAAAAACCATAATTTCTTGATAATATGGCAACATAGGTAGTAGATAAAATTTACAAGAAAGAAAATTTTTTTAGCAAAAAATCATTTTTTTTGGAAATTTTCAAAGTAAAATAACTTCGTTATTTCGGACTTATTTAAAAAACGATAAAGAGAAAATATGTTTCATTTATCGAGATCTACCACCCCTTAAAATACTTGCACTTATTTCTGGGACACCCTGTAGAATAGATTATCGACACCCTGTACATTACTTTTCAGAATTAATTCTTGTGCTGAGTTTAAATTAATTTACAGATTAGTTTAAATTGCTGAGTTTAAATTAATTTACAATTAATAAATTACAGATCTATTTTAAGGATTTATTTTACAAAAAAAACTTTGTTATTTCAAATGCAACACCCTGTATTTTTTAGAATAAATCGAGGCAGATTCAAATGCTCTTTCAAACTATATTAGGGTTTCCTATACCTACCTCGCTCAGATTTTGAATAAAAAGCTGTTTTTCAATAAAATGGCAATCAAGATGGCTGGTGTCGCAATGGCAATTTTCTAGTGACACTTAGTCACTATTTTCAAAATCGACATTAGTTTATGGACATTATTATTTAGATTAACAACAACTTACTTAAATTTATCTACGATAGTTTAATAAGTATTCATTTTAGAAAAATTGTTTTTTTATTCAAAATCTGAGCTAGATAGGTATAGGAAACCCTAATATAGTATGAAAGACCATCTGCTTCGATTTATTTTAAAAAACACAGGGTGTTGTGGGTATTAGAAGTAACGAACTTTTATTAGAAGTAACGAAAATAAGTATTTAAAATAGACTAGCAATTTTTATACCCCTGTATACATTAAACGAAGCAATCAAATGTTTCAGTAAAGTTTATTTATTTAGCTTAAAAGTCAGCACAATAATTAATTCTGAAAAGCAATGTACAGGGTGTTGACAATATTTTCTATTATAGCATATGCTAATTAAATATCTTTAAATATCTCAAAAACCAAAGCTTGTAAACATATTTAACCCTTATAATAAAGGCCTTATTTTGTGTCTAAGGACCCAGTTGTGAAATAACATACCGGGTGTTCCATAAGAAAAAATACAACTTTGGTGTCGTGGATCTTAGTTCCGACATACCCTGTACATTTCAAAATAATGTTAAATTATGCACATTGTCTTCCCACATATACCCATAAACTATTTTTTTCTACATCTCTCCGTTTTCGTATAATCAACCGAGGCGAATCAGGTGCGCCACCCTGTATACTTTTTTCTTTTATCTTGGCGGTTAGGTAGGCACACTCTTTTGTTGCCTTTATGACCAGCCGCCCCTGGTAGAGACAAAAACACATATCTAAAAACAGTATAATATATTGTTTTTGGATATGTGATTTTGTTTCAATATAATATATTATTAGACTTTGCGAAATAATATATAGGTATGTTTCTATAATATTTCTACTAAAATTTCTTGTTAAAATAAAGACTTTATATTTGGTAAATTTAATTATTAATATTCTACCTTTTACCCTTTTTTACTCATTGTACAATAGTGATTGCGCTGAAATACTACTCTGTATAATTTATTTTAGTTAGATATATCCAACGTTGGAGATATCTCAGTTTGGGAATTTTCCGGCCAAGAATCATATTTTCCAGTTTACCACCATTTCCTAAGGCCCACCCCGTACTCCGTCACTGCTATTCTATTCAATCTCGATGATTCTCCTTCCGTGCAAATTCAACAGGTGTGTTTTTGGATCAACTTCGTTTTAGCTAGACAAGATGCAGAATTACCTACATGTAAGCTGACCAAAATAATTACTTTGATTTCATTCAGAATTTAATCTCCTATAGGTCAGTATGGCCAAATTATGCTAATAGCAACTCACGTCGACTTAACGAGGGCTGTGAAGAATCAGCACGGCGAATGGGTCTGTCCAGACGCTCAAGAAACTTTAGAAACAATAAGAAAACTGCTACCGCACGTGCCAAATTTAATGGACACTGTAGTGATTATGGATTCAAATGTACCAGCGTCATTTGCTTTTAAGCAGCTCAAATCTATATTAGCTAATGTTAAACAAAACATTATACAGGTAAACCTCTTGATAATATGCTATATTAAAAAAATAGGTATATTTTAACAATAATAATATATCCCATTTTTAAAGCTATACAGGGTGCTACAAATTCGAGGTGTAAAAGCATTGGTATCTCGGAAAAAATTACTTTTTAGAAAAGCAAAAAACCCTTTGACAAGAAAAAATAAAATTGATTTTTAAAAAAATCCCTTTTTTTCCAATAAACTCAGCAATCCTTGAAATTTTTAAAACTTTTTTGATGACATCATGGCGAACATCCCAAGGCGCAACTTTGCCCCAATTTAACCATCTTCGTATCTATTACGGTTTCCGAGATAACAATGCTCGTACCTCGAATTTGTAGCACTCTGTGTAGGTATTTTTTCTTTCCAACATTGAAAAAAAATTATTAATAAGTGTAAATACTTTTTAACTCACCCGGCGTGTTTAATATCTTAAACGGGGCATACACGGGGAGACACACCTGGCTGCATGCCGCGAGGCGGCGTATCACGTAAATTGGTCTCAGCATCACACAACTCCGCACACACTTAAGTTATCTCATGGCACTGCCACTGAAACATCAGTTCTATTTAAAATGGCGTGCTACTCTCAGCTTACCAATGAGCAAATCTGTGCAATTGGTGTAGTTGCTATAGTAAGCTCCAGTTGCTATAGTAATTGATGAGGATGAAGAGAAAAAGAAAAGGCCCAGAAAAAAATGGTCAAGCAAATGGCTAACACAAAGAAAAATTTATTCACACATGAATTTGATACGCGAACTGCAACAGAATGAGAAAATTATCTGAGGATGAATGATGAATCCAGTTTTTATTGTTTACTTGATCTAATTAGACCTACAATTAAAAATCAAAATACCCTAATGAGGGAGGCCGTGTCTGCTGAAGAACGCCTGATAGCCACACTCCGATATTTAGCTACTGGCTACCACAAAACACATACACAAGAAGAAGTGCTAGCGCCTTGCTAAATATTGGAAAGTGAAATTGACGTTTAAATTTGACAAGTCTACTGCTACTAGCGCCCCCAATATCGATTGTAGGAACTACGGACTAGATTGTCACGTATGGCGGGAAATTTAAAAAAATAAAAAAAATTTAATTCTTTTTTTTATTTTTAATTATAACATACATAAAAACATAAATAATACACCATTTTTTAAAAATATGTTTAATATCAATATCACAGTTTAAAGAATATAAAATATATATTCTGAAAAAAATGGCGTCATAGATGGCTTAGAAATGAAGATATATATCCTAATTTTGAAAGTAAAATTATATGGGAAATGTCATCGATGTTCATTTTTAAGCCAACTGGACGATTATTTCAAACATACAAGCTGAGTTTGTTCATAGTGCTCTGAGAAATCTAGGTAAAGAAATAATAATAAATTAAAAGTATTCCATGGGAAAAGAGAGGAAAAACCTGTATCGTTACTGATATCTGTCAGGGTGTTGTTGAAAGTGTCATCTTTTTGCTCGAAGTTTTCAGGTCGATCAAAAAGATGACATTTACAACAATACTTTTCCGTAACTTTCACAAATATCAGAGAGAGTACAGGTATTTCCTCTCTTTTCCTCTGGTATGCTTTATATCTGTTGTTCTTTGTTTATCTATATTTTTCAGAGCATAATGCCGAATACGAGTACAGTATATAATTTCAATATCCTAGGCGGAAAGAAAAAAGATCACCTTTCTGTTTTGTACTTTGGTCCCTTTCTTTCGATGGCTCATCTCCCTGATAGAAGGTAGGTCCTTGATGGAGGAAGGTATCCATAAAATATATATTTTACTATCTGTCTTGGGATGAAAAAATATAAAATTCAGTTTGATTTGATGATCCTTTTCTGTCACCTAAAGCTTTATTTTGCATGCATCCGTTGTCCGACGATACGTTGATACGATATTAATTTCATTGGTTGTATTTAAAGGCTTCGATTGGTTAACCGTTTCCCCGTTTCTAACCCGGTTTAGGGTATTTTGTTTTTCAACTTTTCTGTCACCTAAAATCCGGAGAATGACAATGAGCAAGTTAAGATGAAAAAAAATTATTTATCAACACTTACCTACACGTTAGTCCGAGGAGTTTTATCAAAAACCAATTATATTTGCCTAAATAATTTATGTATTAAAATTTGTAAAGCAAACTGCAGCGTGTAAACAAAAGAAATAAAATGATCACAGAATATACTAACGAAAAAGAAGCCCAAGTTCCTTGTAATAAATATATTCCATTTTCGTAACGCCATCTCTCGACATAGCTGATATTTACAGGTTAGCCAAAGGGGTGCGGGGCCGGGGGGAATTGTAAAATGCATGTTTTTTATTTTAATTATCTTTATTCGCTATTTGCAAGGTTATTTTTAAAACATATTATGTGAAACAATCACATAATATGTCTTAAAAATAAAATTACAAACGGAAACAAAAGGAATTAAATAGTCTGAAAATCTACAAAGTTTATTGATAAAAAAGTTAGGCTATGCAAATTGATATATTAAGTATAACCTCTTTGGTATAACATTGTTAAACAAACATTAACAAATCATAACATATCAGATCATAGAACTAAAAAAAGTACTATTACATAAAAATAGGTGATACTGTGACGACTTTTCTGTCGTTACCCAAATAGAATGAAAAAAGAATCCGTTGCTCAGGGTTAGAGGAAAGCTGGGTTCGTAGGTAAGGCTTCTGACTCACAGTGACTTTCTAATGTTGTTAAATATTAAAATAAAAAAAATGATAATATATAGGCTGCAGAGATTTTAATATTGTGTTATGTTAAGAATTCAAATAGGTATGGTCAAAGACAGTGAAAAGGGCGCCACTTACTTTGTTTATGAGAGTGGTAAAGTAAGAAACCGAAAAGGAAAATACGATATCACAACATAGCTAAAATAAAGTAATCAACAGCATTAAGGGTCTATTATGTTTATCAGGAATAAAAGTCAGAAATAACTATCCTACATTAAACATTTATTGAAAACAAACACAAGTATCATGAATTAGTCACAGTGATCCCAATAAAACCGCAAGTTATTTTAAATAGATTTGAATTTAGTAACTGCATTCTTTGAACTAAGTAAGCTACTTAATAAAAACAGGTGAAATTTATGTATGTCTCAATACGATGATGTTTCGAAACATGTCGTGTACAAAAACCTTTAAAATGAATACGTGTTAATAATTTTCATATAAAATATCATAGCTAAGTAAGAGTGTACTGTACGAATCAAATTATAACTTATAACGTTAAATAAAAAATAATTTTGAATACAATATCTGGAAAATTTGTCGGACGCCGAAACACGCGTCTTCTTCAGATCCAAATTCCCAGAAAAAAAGACCTTCTTCTCAGTTTCAGAAACGAAAACCCAACTGTCATAAATGAAGTTTGACATCTAGCGAATAGATGCGCTAATAAAAATTAAATATCGGGACAAGGGAAATGCAATTAAGGAAGTTTGGCATATAGCGAATAGATGGCGCTAATAAACAAGACAAGTGAACTGTTATAAATGAAGTTTGATATCTTTGGCATCTAGCAAATAGATGGCGCCAATACTAAGAAATTTAAATAAAAATAGATTTTTAAATTCAATTTAATTAAAGGAAATAAAAAATGCTACACTTACAATACTTCAAAATTAATTTTAACATAATATCAAAACCGAAAAATCAAACTGTAAACACAACCACACTTATCACAACAGAAATTAACACACACTTCCGCGGCAATCATTCTGATTGGTCCTGGTCCGGTCGTAGCTCACGTCGTATTGTCGGTAAGCAAAATCCCTGTACAAAAATTTTGACGATCAGCGCCATCGCCCGTCATAATTGGGAAACTTTTGCTGGAACCATTTTTAATATTTCACTTACATGGCCCTGTAAAATGATGGCGACAAGTCAACAACCTGACAAGGAGAAAAGTGGTGGAGTGGTGCTCGAATAACAAATTATGGGACACCAAAAATGGCTTTTGTCTCCTTTCAACGCACGCTTTAGAAAGAAAAAGAGATGAACTCAATTACTGAAAGAACGTCAACCGTCAAGGTTTTATCTGTCACTCTTGTCAATAATTTATCGGTAAGGAAAATTCCTAGAAAATCGCTTGTAGGGAAGTTTTGAACCATTGCCAGTACTCCCATAAGAAGTGTCATCCACCTGCTGACTACTATACTATTTTTTGACGATCAGTGGCGCTACACAGCCATTCACAGTGAAACAAGTAGAGACTTGTCGCATTGCAAGTCCATGAAACCGTCGGAGTCGATCTCAATGATACATGATACTAGCTGAGACCGCAACATTAACATCGAGATTTGTCTCAGAGACCTAGGTATTGCCGCAAGCGGCGAGGTAGGTCTCACCGGTGTGTGCCCCGCTATAGAGGGTGAGGGTAACAGTACCATCTATAATTAGATCTAACAAGAGTACAACATTAAGTTTGTTTATAATGTGTAATGAAAAATTATTTAGTAGATTTCAAAACATATCTTTTCGTATTTACTAAAACATATCTAGAGGTGTCTAGAATTTTCAGTCTTTTAAAATAACTTTTAGCCTAGACTTTTGAATAACAAGACTAAGGAAGGAGCATAATGCTATCCATGTATTCATGCAATGGTGGGCGGAAAAAGGACTCTAGGGTGGGGATCCTTGACAGTTCTATTTAACGATGCATTTGACACATTTGAATTTGATTTGAAATTTTGTGGATTTGTCAGTCTTTACGGAGCTTATTTTATGTTATTTATTATTTATTCTACTACTGATAGTTGTATAAAGGCAGTAAATCTAGATGGAAATTGTGACAGAACTTAAATTAACAGTGACACTATCGCGATTTATCGAAAAAGACTCTAAAATAGTTGGTTGTGTAGCGTGCGGTAGATCTCTGCAAAAATCGAGTGAAATAATGGAACAACTTTTCGCTAATGACTATATAATATACACACATACGTGTAGTAAACCGATCATTTATG